TTAGAGAAGAGGGAGATACCTACAGAGAAATTTTCACAACTGTAATACTAGGGTGACATTGAAAATTTTTTAAAAAATATTTCCTTATAAAACATATTTAACCCTTTTGCGATGAGCTCAGTATAAAATACATGAGTTCGTTTACATCTTTGCACACGTTAAGTATTTATACAATAACTTTTAATGCTGTATGTGTATCTTCACAAAATTTGATAGACTTTTAGTAATTATTCCAAGTCTTTTGTACATAAAAAATCAGACTTTTTAATGAAGTATTTTTACTAAAGACTTGTTTGTGAAAATAGACTCTGTTTCATTACTAGTCCGAGTGTGAAGTGATTTTCATATTATGATTTAAAAACTATTCTTTGTCCAAAAAATCTTAAATATTATTTGTGTAATCTCTAAAACATCCTAAATACATTTAAAACGTTTGTTTTCAGTGAAACTTTATATTTTGTATGTTATTTTCTCTACCCTAACTATATGGGGTCTGTCAATTTGCCTGATCTCGTAACCACCACAAAAATTAGGAAATAAATATAAATTATGCTTTTTTCATTCCAGAATGGCTACAAATTATAACACAAATATTTAGTCTAAATAGCTTAAATCTCATAACATTATACATGTATTATTTTTATTATATTGATCTTCCAGTCATGCAGAAGTGACAATGAAGTGGCATACATGCACTCATGTTACCATATCCAATAACATAACACCGACCTTTAGTCTTTACAAAGTGACCTGTCTTGGCTGTGTTTTAGTGGACTAGTATTTTGTAAAGTACAGTCACAATTCGATTATTATACATTATATATGTATATAGATGATTACTATTTACAAAAAGTTCTTAAAAGTATTTTTTTTAAAACATAAAATAGTAGATGAAGAAGTAAAGTAAACAATTATCTCTTCTTGTTAGTAAGACCTTTATACTTGGTTGCTGCTTCTCGTAGCTTGGTAAGCCTTAAGAAATTTCACACATAGAGGATGTGAAATGGAAAATTTTTTTTTTGGTTTTATATATACATTTGAATAGCCAAAAAATCATAACTTACTATATCAATACCATAGAATTCCATTATAATTTATCAAGTTTAGAAACCAAGCTGTATTTCGTTCTAAAAAAATATGAAATTTTGAGCAGACTAAAGATACAACCTACCACCTTGAAATCTTGTTTCAAAAGAACAAGATGGTGTCCTAACACATGAAAATGGCTGAAAAAGCCACTAGGGGATATTCTGAACTTTTGATTGGTTATTCACGCGTCATATGCACAAGTAAGTGTATATAAGGGACTGTTTCCAAAAATGGGGGGGAGGCACTGTGTTTGATTCAGTACATGAGCAATATCTCATTCTAGTTTGTTAAGATCAGTAATTTGAGTTCCTAATCCATATGAAACTATAGACATCACAAACAAACACCTAATCTGAACTAGTGCTGCATTCAACATACCATGTGACACACACCAAAATAGATGTTTAAGTGTTTATTTAATATTTACTTTTAAATTAAGAAATTGAATAATGTATAGTACTAAAATTTGAACGATAATCTAAAGTTTGATACCAAACTTATTGACATAATTTCATAAAATAGTAGTTCAATAAAATTTTGAATGCAAGTCAACAAACATGATGACAACCTGTGACCCGTAGTGATAGGGTTAATATTGAAATTTGACTGATTAACTACATCTTTATGCCAAGATTATTTGTATTCCATGATAATAGCATAGTTTGATTAAATTTTAAATGTAACTTTAAAAAATCATGACATGTGCACTTTGACCTGCCCATAGTGAGTGGGTTAAAACTAATTGTTTCATCAGTTGGGTATCCTTGTTGTTTATGATATTTTCAGCCATAAACACAATAAAATCTTACAATGTTTGGCCAGCCCAGGAGACTTAGGTTAGGACTCAAACCATATACTAATTTAAAAATGCAGAATAATTGTTAAAATAATCATAAAATTAAATTATTTTCAGCGGACTTAAATAACAACCTAGTTCCTAACAGATATGCCATATTTGTCATAGATTATGTTTGTTGAATAAAGACATCAGTAAAAAAAGAAAAAAACCCAAAAACTTCCTACCCACAGTTCAAGTTTGGTAAATGATGAATAGTCCAATAGCCCTACTCGTTCTCGGCAGGCCATGTATTCTGACCAAACATTATTGAACCAAGGTGGTTTGTGAAAGGTATGTGTATGTGCAATGCGATCACATTCCAGTGTATCAGCAGAAGCTGTAAAAATATAAATAAATATGAGGTAGTAAAAATATCTGTCTATTCATTATTTGGTAAAATACACTATTAATAAAAGATAACATGTGATAAAACATCTTATGGGAAAGAATAATCTTACAGCTTATCATAAACTATTGTAAGTCTCTGACAAGTAGTAGTTTCCACATGAAATTAATAAAATTATAAGATCAATTATAAAAAGCTTACTGTACTAGGCAGTGTTGAATTGGCACATAATGACAGCCAAACGTTTATTTTTCCTTTTCAATGTTTCTTACTTAGTTAGAAGTATTCATAATTACATAAAAGTCCCATTTGTGTAAACAGGTTAACAACTTAACAGTGTTACATACTGTTAGAAGTACACATCTAGCTATTTTTAACAAACACAGTTAAATTAGCATGTTATTCAGCAATCAACTTTTTTTTTTGAGAATGAATAATAAATATTAACTTTACATAACACTTTTATTAAAGTAATCTTACTCTAAGTAATATTGGTTCCATTTGTAGCTTGTAATAAGTAAGCAATGTATCAAGATTAAGCTACACTATTAATTAGTCCAAAGATGGTAAAGACAAACAACAGGCATCAATGTGGCAAGTTATGTGGCAATATTTCATCAAACCGTAATAAATTGAAACACTAATTGAAACTTCAATAAATTGAAAATACCAATGAGAAATCATAATGACAATATTTTGATTACTTGGATAGATGGAATATTTGAAAACACTGATTGCTGTCATGGTTTACAAAAATAATCAACTAACCGAATATTACTGTATTTGATAATTCCAACTATCCAAGTTATCAAAGTAATTGTCACATAACTAGTCACATTGATGCTTGTTATTCATCTTTACATTGTTTGGACTAAACAGTAGAGTAATTTTATCTTAATATAATGCTTACTTATTATAAACTATAAACTTAAACAATGTAATTTAGGGTAAGATTGCTTTAATCAAACATCAGGTGCATCAGGTTGGTCCACTAGACCAAGCCCATAGTGAAGAATTGATGTGTACCATAATTCTGAATTTACTGTGTATCTTCAAAAAACACAGAATCAGAATTTGTAATAAAATATTTGTATTAAAGATATATCTGTGAATTTACTAAGTCAGTCTGACTAGTCTGATTGCAAAGTGATTTTTATGTTAACAATAAAAATACTTTTCTTCATTTTATAGTTTTAATATTTTATTTGCATAATTGCTAGAACCTCCTAAATGAGTATAAAAAGTTTTTTCAGTAAACTTTATATTTTATCTACCTATGATTAACTGTAGTGAAATCTGCAATGTATGGTAAAGTGAAAAGTTGAAAAATACAAAATAAATCTAAATTACGATTTTTTTCTTACTAAAAAGACTGCATATTGTAACAGATATTTACAATTTATCTTAAATAGCATCAGTTTTCATTTAATTGTATTGTAATATTGCTCTTTGAACAGTGTCTAAAAATCATAACAAAGCAATAAATAACCAATTTATTATAAAAAATATTGAATTGCATCATGGGTGCAGCTCGCAAACATTTTTTTTTGCAGGAGAAATATAGTTACTTAATCTTCTTTATATTTTAGATATTTTTATAACAATAAACCAAATATACACATGAAAAAAGAAGAAATTTAGTATATACCTCTGAACTCTCATAAAATGAATGCCAAAAATATCAAAATCTGTCATCTCAATGAGATAGTCTTGTAGTAAATTCAATAAAGTAGAATCCTCTTTTTTCTATTGGTTATAAATAACTTAACAGCAAATGTCAGAGAGAATTACTGACATTTTTTGAAAGACAGGGTGTGATAGGAGGGCATGGCACATGGGTTTCACTTTCTTGTTTATATCTCAGTAAAGCAAAAAGATTGGAGGCTGTAAGTTTACATTATGGTTTAGCACATATTTACGTAATAAATATGTAACTTGTGTCAAACTAAGATGACCATACAGGGGTAGAAAGAAAATCTAAAATGGGCAATTCTAAGCAAAGAAGTATCATATAATACAGAGAAGTGAAGAGAGAGAATTTATTTAAATATGAGAGAAACAGTTGTGCTCAGTGTATATGTAATCTTATTCTAGGTTACCTATGAGACAACCAGTTATGTTTTGTATATCCCAAATATTACTCAAGGTTAACTATTAGAAAATCAGTTGTTCTCAGTGTATACCAAAGCTTACTATAGGTGAACTATGAGAGAAATAATTATGCTTAGTGTATATCAAATCTTACTTCATGTTAACTATGACACAAACAGTTGTGTTCACTGTATATCAAATCTTACTATAGGTTAACTATGTCACAACAGATATGCTAGTGTATGGCAAATTCTATTCTGGGTTATCTATCAGACGAACAGCTGTGATCAGTGTTAAACAAGTATTACTCTAGGTTAACTATAATGTAAACAGATGTGCTTATTGTAAATCAAGTATTACTCTACATTAATTATAAGACAAGTTGAGCAATGAATGTATCAACTCCTACTCTAAGTTAACTATGAGACAAATGGTTCTGCTCAGTCTATATCATATATTACTTCAGGTTGACTATGATATAAACACTTCTGCTCAGCATGAAGCAAATCTTACTCTAGGTTGACAATGAAGCAAACAGTTGTGTTCAAAGTGTATCAATTATTACACTATGAGACAGAAGTGTGTTTAGTATACATCAAATCTGACTCGTGGTTAACTATGAGACAAACAGTTGTGCCCAATGTATATCAAATATAGGTTAGCTATGAAGCAAATAATTTTTCTTAGTGTGTATCAAATCTTACTCTAAGTTATCTATAAAACAGTTGTGCTCAGTGTATACTGACATCAATTGTTAATGATGCCTTAATATGAGGCAAAGAGCTATAATAGGAATGTACTAATTTTAAAATATCAGTGCTTTATCTAGTCTAACTGTGAGACAGAAATATAAACTTAGAATTAATGAGCCTGAAGTATTTGATAAGTTTTAGAATGTTAGAAGTTAGAGCCTAACTTGAAAGAGACAGCTGGACTAACAGTGTCCTACTGTGTGTGTTTATATATACTATAGTTTAGCTATGAGACAGAAATGTCAATACCTGTGCTAAAAACAGGCCTAATTTGGCCTGAATATAAGTCTTTTATTATTAAATTGTAATTATTACTCTAAAAAAAATACTTGTAAAAAAATATGGCATTCTTGTTACCTCCTGTGTCTGGATCAAAGTAAGCCGGTTTTTCATAACCCATGTTTTGACTGAAAAAGGCTCCTGCAATTTTCAACCTTGGGTAGATTGGAGACATTCTAAGACAGCGACCTGTTTCAAACTCTGTGAAAGGATACTTCAGCCTGTAATGCATACCTGGAATTAAAAAAATATACAATTATTAATACACTTTAATAAGAGGTTATGAAAATGAAATATGAAAGCTTTAGGATGATAAAATTACTTGAAATACATGAAAATCACCTTGCAATGAGATTGACTCAGTAAGGAACTTGAAAATTCACAGTCAAATCTTTAGTAGAAAAACATCATCAAAATTCTGACTTTTTTGTACAATAGTTCTAACATTTATTAAAAGATTGCCAAATGGTGTATAGTAGTCCCAATTATAATAACTATTACTACGTATAGTTTCAAACATAACAGGGTTGGTCCAATACTGTTGACACAAGGTTAATCCTATTCACCATTATGTAATTTTCCATAAAACTAAGATCTTCTGTATGCACTTTGCTTCAAGCCAAACCTACAACATCTGTATTGTTTCCTGTGATGTTTCAGATGGAAATACTGTACCATTTTACAGAATTCACCAAGCAGCACCATCTTTCTTCAAAATTAAGTTGTACTCTTCAAGAAAAGAGGACCTTGGGGTACCACAAGCAAGGAAAATAAATTGTGAAACCAATGTTACTACAGTTAGTAACTAATAAATGAGAAAATACAAATTCTGATGTTTTTATGTTTTGAGTAAAACATGTGGTTGAGTCCATGGAACTCAAAAAATAAACATAATAGTGCAAATATTTAAATATACATATTCTGCAGTAGGGGCATAGGAAGATGTGGTAAACTCAGATGAAGGAAAAAGGCTGTCAAATTCCTCATTGTCCCAAACAGGTTCAGTATATTCAGGAGGAAAATAGGCAGTATCAGAAGCAGAAGGTGGACTCGTATAACAATCAATCACTCATCAAATGAGAGCCAATAATTCTATAGTCGAGTCCTCTCCCACCTGCAGCCTGTGTAAATGTGCTGGTAGATGGTATTACCTCTAAAGTGGTAACTTGGACTTCGGAATTCATCATTGAAGACGAACAACCAAACACAACAGTGTTAGAATAAATAAATGAAAATAACAATTTCACTTCAGAATAAATTAAAAAACAGTTCAGTAGAAGGATGGGAGAAAGCCAGCAAGAGGGATGAACTATACTACACAGACATAATACCACTGCCCTACTCTCTACCAAATAGAATCAGCCCCATTTAGGTTTACCACCCCAGCAGCTAGGGATAAGTGGCAAGGACTTTCATACTCCACCAGATGAAACAGTGGGATTGGGGTGAAAACTTGTCCAGAGGAGTCTGTAAGGTGCACCACTGTAAGACAGTGCAATAGGTAATTACAAAATTGCTATTTTTTTAAACCAGGCCAGCTCTAGGTTCTAAAATAGGTATGAATGATGGGCAGGGATTTCCTGCCTGCTTTACTCATGATAGTTCATGAATGGGTATGGTCTGGATTGGGCCTTATTTAAGAGAATAAGCACTGTGAGGATACCTCAAGTAGACAAATGGAACACCCCATCTCATGAGTGAGTGCTATATCAGGCCATGATGGCCCTACACTCTGCAGACTTTAGTTAAGTATATCCTAGCAGGCAACACTTTCCATTGAGTGGGATCCAGTAAGGCATATGAGGCCCCAAGAAAATTATGATAAAGAAAATGAACTTACCCAGTCAGAGATGGTAAGAATAGTGATTGGAGGTAGTCCATAGCCTGACGAAGAAGAAACAGCCAAGTGGAGATAGTGTGCAAGAAAGGTGTGAGGGGTTGTCCATATGCCAGCCTAAACAACCTCTTCCAATGGACAATGGAAGTGGAAAGCCAAAGAGCGTGTAAGGTGACAAATCTGATGGAACGACATATGGAATTGCTGATGGCAATCCACATCCAATGAAGAATATGCCAAATGGATGATGGGAAGGGTGGAGGAGATGAAAGGACAAAAAAAACACGGCAAGGACTGTGGAAGAAGAAAAACAAATGGCAATAGGAAAATCGGAAAGCAGTAAAAAGAGCTGCCTGGTAACCATTAATAATCGAAACTGATAAGCCTTGGTCAAAGAGCCCAGTGAAGTACACAGACAGTTGGAGAATGGAAGTGCAAGAAGGGGAAAAAGAATGATATAGTGACCAATGGCAGAAATTACTCCACTTCTACTAATATACCATTATGGAGAATTGGCAAACAGAATGGGAATCTTACACATGAAAAAGAGTCTTGAATGTTGTGTGAGGGAGCAGATAAATTCCGCACATAAAGTTAGAGCAATGACATGGTTAGATGAAATAAGGAAGTACAAGACTGAAGAAGAAGAGAGTGCAAGATGACAGAAAGTTCAAGAGAGGAAACCATAATTGAGCCAGTCAGTAGGGCACCATTAGAAGGACCCAACAAGGAATATCCCAAAAGAAGGAGGACACAAATAGGATTGCAAACCTAATGGAAGAGGTTGGACCAGTCCTGATTATATGCATCTTTAGCTAGAGCTGATGGATGTGAAACAGAAGACCAGAAGAGGGGAAGTGTCATGTTATAATAAGTGGCCTTTGAAAAACAAAAGAATTGAGAGACCATTTTGTGAAAAAAAACCTTGTCTGGCCATAAGAGAACCTGCAACATAACAGGCAGACATGCAGAAAATGGGACCAGAAGAGGAGGTCAAAGGTTCCAAAACAGAGAGAGCAATATTGAGTGTTTCCATAGTGATTGATATAGGCTACCATAGAGGAATCATCTATATGAAAACCCAACAATCCTGTAAGAGCTCCAAGAGGTTGACATGAAAGGCAATTTCTTCGGGTTCTATGAACAAAAACCTCAAAGGAGTTGAGACAAAAACACCACTCCATCAGGAAAGTATCTGTAAAAAGATGAAGATCCAGACAAGAGGGAAGAAGAGGAGCATCTTATGCAGAATTGTTCTGTCAAGCCATGTATGGAAGGAGAAAAATGGATAAGGGATTCTGAGAGAGGTTCCACAGATCATGTAGAATCCACTGCAAAAGATGCACATGACCACGGGTGCTTTGGAAGACCAAGTCTCCCAAAAGGGAGAGAACCTCACATACACAGGATAGAGCTATGAAAACCAAATGCATCATGGCCTGCCGATGAAGCAGAAAAGGCTGAGCTCTACATAGATGGGAAATTAAGAACATACCCAAGTTAACCAAATACTAAGTGAGTGTGAGATGAGACCTCTCTAGCCTGACACACCAACCAAATTGAGCTCCCCCATCAAAAAAGGAGAAAAGTATGTTCATAAAAGTCCCAGTGGGACATATTGAAATCCTGGAGATGGATGAGAAACCTGATCAATAGTTTACTTGCCCTACATTTCTGAAACTGCCACTGAAAGATGCTGACGAGACACCGAATCCTATGGAAGATGAAATAGTATGGGAACATAAGATATAAGAAGAGTAGAAGAAAGAAACAAAAAGTAAGACCCTCCTATTAAACTTGTAGCATGTAATACTCAGCCACAAACAGCCTACAGGATAGTAATAGACAAGATTATCAGTGTTGAAACTAAGTACAGAGGAAGAATGGATAGAAGCAGAGAAATGGGAGGAAAGGACAAGGAGAGGAGAAGATATAATAGGATGGGAGACTATATTGGGAAAAGAAGGAGCTATGGAGAGATGAGAGACAAGGGAGGAAGAGAAAGAATGTTGACTTGCAGCTTTAACCTTTGATTCCAGAGAATAAGGTACTCCACCAAAAAGACCTTGGCAGAGGAGAGGATCCAGAAAAAAAAATCCTCAAGATAAGGAGGAGGCAAATGTACCCGAGCAAGAAAGACATCCCTCTCCAATAAATCCCAACAATAAATCAATCAATCAGTCAGAAGGGACAAGGCCGAACACACCAATGAAGAAAAGGGAACAAGTATCCCCTGAAAATTCCACAGGGGTATGGTGGATTGCTTTGGAAAGAAGGGAAAAAAAAGAGTAGCAATAGGGTAATGAGAGTAAGACAAAAGTATGAAATTTGGATCTAAGGATGTCAAACAGAAAATAGAGTCTGAATAAGAGACCCCAAGAAAGGGAATACAGCCTGATGTTAAGCTAATAAATGTGTGGCAACCAGGCATGTGTGCACCAGAGTGACATTGAGTAAAAACTGTTCAATATGGACTTCAATATCTGGAGAGGGAGGAAAAAAAAGTCAGAAGCAGAGGACAAATGAAGAAGTGCAGGACAAGAATTATACAAGACAGGAGAAAGAAGAAGGTAACATACCTGAGAAGCCATGTCCATAAGTTACAAAAAAAGGCCTAATTAGATCCATGACAGAACTGGTAGAAGATTTGGCAAAGGTAGATGGTGGAAAAAAACTGTCAAAATCCCCTTTGTCACAAATGGGATTCATAGGAGGAGGTATATCAGGTTCAGAAGAATGTTTAGACCACATGAAAGACTCCATCTCCTACTACACAATAGCCATCACTATCTCAACAGAAAAAGAGGAACCCAACACCATTTTAACTGTTTGTCTACTGTGCATAAACAATGTTTTGTTGTTTCACATGAGACAAAATGGAAGATACTGCCACTTGTGAATTAAAAATGTGCAACTAAAAGGCCACAAAATCTGCAGGCATAGAAATATTGAAAAACAAAAATCCAAATTTAATATTTCCAAAACAATTGGAGATACTTCCACAAAAAATGCCAATATCACAAAAGTTCACCAACAGAAAAATAAAACTCATCTTTACACACAAGTGCCAAAGTAAGTACAGAGGGAATCAGCTGTGCTAGAAGGGTATGTCACACAATATTATTCTTTCCTAATAAAGATGTTAGTTACTCTTTTAATCATATGAAGATTTAAAATTTGTTTTTATCACTTAAAAAATCCTTGTCACATTAATCAGATTATATATATCTTACCCTATTGTATTTGTATGATAAACTTTCAATAAGAAAATTTCTCGTAAGTAATGTTCAAAATGCGTAAAATTGGGACTTAGAGAAGAAATATACATTGCAGGGATATATTAAAAACAAAAGATTACATATGTTGTATAAAATACATTCAAAGTATTAATTACTAGAGGATAACATGAAATAATAACTCACCAGGCACCTCTCTCATTCTGGCTTTCAGGAACATCAAATTGTTGTGCAAACCAATAAACCTGCGAATGTCCAAATCCCATATGTCTGTTGCGGGTTCACCAGAAACAATCCAGTCAGAAGTCAACTTTCCAATTCCACCTGCTGCTTCAATACCTATTGACTTCATTCCACTAGCAACAAAGTAATTCTTTACCTAAAAGTTACAAATGAACTGTGTGTGTAATTTTACGTATTGATCACCAAATACCAAAATCAACTTTTCAATCCAACTTCAATACTTATGTGATTTTCTCCAAATAGTATTAGGTAGCTCTTTATAACGAGAAGTTTATCAGGATAAATTATGAAGTCTGAATTTAACTAAAGTAAATGAGTTCAAGCAAAGAAATAAACACACGGGACAAGATGTGTTATAGAAAATAAGCACCCTTTATTTTTAACCAATGGACAAACACAGTGTGTGTGTGTATGTATACTTGCTTCCAGGACACTGCATGGTTACCTGCTACTGGACATGTGAATTGATCAACATATTTCCTTCCCTCAAGATGTCTTCCTATCAACCAACTAACTTGAAACCCTGTGTAAACTATTTATATTTAACATTTATTTCTTAACAGGAAACAGTGGATTTATCCACAGTGACTAACACTACTTATGTGACTGATCATTCTCATTCAACAGAGTGGAGGCCATAACCGGTATATATATATTCTGTTCTACTGGTGAAAGCCAGTGCTGTCATGACCATCTTACACAACATGCAGCATTACTGCAATATCTCCCACAAGCAGAGCAGGTATTAGCTCTAGAGAACAACAAAGTAAAAAAGATGGCTAGAACAAAGTCATTTACATGATTTTCTGGATAACATGTTTTGGGGAAACTACACACTCATAATAAATGAAAAAATTAAAACATTTTCTGCATTATAGTAAAATCACAGGAAACACATAGTATACTGCATACCACACTTACTGGCTTCATTACACTCGCAAGAAAGTAATTCTTTACATAAAAACTACGGCTAAACTGTATGTAATTTTAAACATTGATCCTATCAACAAACACAAAAGCCAACTTTTCAATCCCATATGCTGCTTTAATACCACTGACTTCATTCCACTTACCATAAGGTAATTATTTTTGAGGTACAACTAAACTGTATATAATTTTAAAAACTGATCCCATTACCAAACAAAAAAGTTAAGTTTTTCAATCTTACCTACTATTTCAATTTTACTGTTTTGTTTGACTGTTTATAATTTTTGCACATAGCTACAAAAGTTTCTAATTTTAAATTAATAAATTACAAAGAAAGCTACTTTTTTGTAACTGTATAAAACACATTTTTGCATCAACAGGATGCAAACCACTAGGCATGCAATCCACAAGCCAATGCCCAACATTCCCCAATTTCAATCAACAAAAAAAATTTTAAATTTGATGTTAGATGATTAATCAATATGAAGTTTTACATGACTTTAGGTAAGAAAAATAGTTTGGTTTTTAGCCACACACCTTTATGTTCACTTATTCCATGAGAATTTGAGGATAACAATTTAGTTTAGAATTCAGGTTTTCATTCCAGTTTGAAAATATACAAGCTCATTTTAGATGACAAAACCTACACCCATATTATAACAAGGTATACCTAAAAACTACATAATTCAGCTTTATTCCTGAAGTAAAAGCATTAATTTTTTATCAGGCTATTTTGAATATCAAAATTCAGCCCAGAATAAAATAATTTTTCTTACAAATTCCACACAACAACCCATAACATTTCATTATTTTATAATTCATTCTACTTGTAAAAGAAAATTTTTTTTATACAAATGTTACAAACAATATCATTATAGATGAATCACTTCTATATATAGTCAAAATTCCCTTATCATCAAACCTCTTTAGTATCTAAAGACTTTGTTAAGTCTACAAACAATTAATTAAAATAATTTTTACTAAAAGGCAGAGAGTTCATTGTAGTACACTCACATTAATTATAAGTTCCAGCAGTAGCTTAGTTACACTAGTAACTTGATTTAGTTCAGTATTGTTTCTGTTCATTTTTCATTAATTCTCAGTTCTCTTTCATTACTGGCTTTTCCAATGATCTTATACTGCTCTTTAGTCATCAATCGATTACAGAATGTAAGTGCACATTAAATAATATATAAAACACTTAAATCTTCTTTTATACACTTGTAGACACACCAAATGATCAATCCAATGTAACAGATTCAACACTAGGAGTATTGGTATTGATAGATGAAATTCATGCATTGTGATCTCATCTTTGAAAACAAAATAATCTTGTAGTTCTCTTGAAGATTTAAAATACCTATTGGGTACCTACATCTTTGTTATGAAAATGTATATCTAAAAAGTACAGCTTCCTGTCTATTTCTAAAGCAAAAAGTAAAATCATGTAAATTTCTTTCTTAGGTATTGTACATCTTGGGGTGAACACTTCAGTAAAATATTTTTTATAAATCTTTTCCAAAATCACACCCAAAAGATAATTTTCTTTTGAAATATTTTGATATCATCCACTTCATGCTTAATAAAAACTAAAAGACACTTCAAGATCATTGGAAGAGCTAGTAATGAAAGAGAACTAATGATCATCTTTTTCCACACAGGAGAGGTGCATTGTATCTAATTTGTAACCACCAAAGTAACCATGAGATTAGTCATACTATAACTTTTGATAATGTATGCACATCTTCACATAATTTTGCAGACTATCAATAAAAATTACAAGTAATTTGTACACAAAAAAACCTCAGTGAATATGTGGAACCAAACTCATTCAAAGTGTTGACTGCTCCACATGTAAAATGATTTTCATGCTAAAAATAGTTTTATTCATCTGAAAACTGTCAAATTTCAATTGGATGATCTCTGAAACCTCTTAAATAAAAATACAAAAACTTTATATTTTATCTCTTATTTTCCCTACCCTATCCTTGTATAGGGTCAGTCAATTTCACTAACCTTGTAACCACCATACAAAATTAGGAAATAAATCTAAATTGACCGACCTTGTATCAACCACAAATAAATGTCATAAATCTAAATTATTCTATTTTCTTTCTAGAATGACTACAAACTGTAACAGGAAACTACAATTGTTTATAATAAATAGCTTAAAGCTTGTAACAGTATACATTTGTTTCTCTTTAAATTTTGTTTTATTGCCCTTTTAACTGTGTCTAACTAATAATTCTGCTACACTAGTTGTAAATTACTCAGCAAATGTGCAGCTCATGTTAGTGATCAAATTACATAACCTGAGTTGCTCACGAGTAAATCTTGTGAACATTTTTTAGTATTATTCATTTTTCATTATCTTACCTAATCTAACCTCATCCAAACTAACAAATTTCTAATTCTTTATATTTTAGTTACTTTTGTAACATTAAGTAAAGATTACTAAGAAAAACCAAAAACATAGTATATACCTGGGTCCTCCTCTTTTTTGCTGTCAATTGTTGATGAAACATAAGCCTACTTTTTTATACTAATGGTAGTAAACACTAAATCATTTTTTTCATCTAACTAAATAACACACCTAGGAACACAGAATAATAAAATGAAAAATCAAACAATTTTCTATAACTATCATAATGTTTCTGGCTTTCTAGCTATGCCAGGGTTGCTAGATGTCCTTCATATTTGAGATTGTCCTTTATTTCATTGCCTGTCCCAAAAGGTCTGCTAGGATGCATAATTGTCCCATATTGAATGGCCAGGATACAAAAACAATAACAAATAAATCGCTATACAATCAAAGAGGTCAAAACTCATAACTCAAAGCACTGAAGAGATGCTATCAGCAAATCAAAATTGCCAGTGCCACAGTGCAAATTTCACTCATCAGTTCAATGCAAAATAATTGCAAAATATCTTTTAAATTGTGTGAAAAGTTTAAGGCTTAATATATTGAATTGTCGTGTCAGTTCAACAAATATTTTACATTTTCATTTTGTAATGTTATAAAATATACCTATTTTTCTAATTATGTTTTCAGAAATCTGGTTTTAGGATTTACTTTTCTTGATATTTTGTGCTAGAAGCAAGTCAACAGCCATTATTAAGAATATATTAGCCCCAAACACTGCTAAGACACACTGACTTAAAGTACAATGGAATATCCACTGATACAAGCAACCATAATGCAGAAAAAAATTTCCCATATGTGGCTCAGTATTTTACCCCTGAATGGGAATAAAAGTCAACTTGTTGCACACATGTTCCTTACCCAATAAAAAATCAGAAACTATCATGTAATTTTGCAAAGAATCTCTGCAAAATTTAGAGAGTGATATGAATAAATGTGTTACTTATTGTGGAGATAATACGAATACCAATTTTGTTGGATGTTTTTGACACAGAATGATCAACGTGTTCAAAAACTTAAAACTAATATGAATGAATGCTTGGAAGAAATTGGGCATCCAGTATGTGTGCTGAACAACACAATGTAGTTGAAGTGATTTTTGTAAAACTGTTTTTGTACTTCGGTATCTACACAGTTTGAACTGAGCATCTTAAGGATTTCTGCCAGTTTGTCAGGGTAAAATATCAATCAGTCCTCTCATATCCAAAAACATGCTGGCTTTCTTTAGTAAATGCACTGAAAATAATCATCTAAGTGTTCAAAGCACTAAAATTGTATTTTCTTTCAGAAGAAAATGCTCCAAAAATTCTGAAAATATTTTTTATGGACCGATTGAGTAAAACCTACACGTACCTTGTACTTAGCCTGCTGAATGTTTTCAACAGGAAGATCCTGCAGATTGAAGGCAGAGAAATAAGTATTATACAAATTTTATATATTTTAAGGAGACTGCTGAATATGTGAAAGAAAGATTGAAAACAAAATTTTGCCTTTAAGTGTAAAATTCCATTCTAAATAAGGATGTCATTTCTGAGTCCAAGGCAAAGAAGTTGCAGTTAGAAGCAAATAACTTCTATTAAACTTGCTATAATTATCTCATGAATTGGATTTTTTTAATACTTCCTTACAAAATTAAGAACTTCAAACTTATATAATATTAAAATTTGATTTATTATTTACGTTTCGATTCCAAGTTTATTCGTGCACATTGATAAGAAACTAATTAAATTTTGAATATAACTCTGTTGTGACACACACAGAAAAGGATACCTGTATGGAAATGGTTA